CACACAAACTTCTCCTCTACGCATGCCGTAGGATTGCCTACTCTGGGCAGCAGCTGAGCACGTCCCATGTGGTGGTCAAAATCCTCGTGCTCATGAGCTTCGGCGTGCCCATCATATCCGCGGCGGCGGTCGCCTACCAGCGGGCGTCAGGGATGAGCTACAGCGAGTCGCTCTACAAGGCGAGTGCGGCCAGGCGCGGCGCCGGCACCCTGCGCACGGTCCGCTACTGCCGGGAGCCCTTGGGCGCCTTGCGTGCCTGTTGGCACCGACTGTTTTTGCGCAGCGTGTGTGCGGAGGTTGCATGCAGAGGCCCCGCGAGCTGTATACGTCCTGGATCTCATGCGGCCGCCACGGAACCTGTGGCTTTGTCCGTCAGTCTTGCTTCGAACAAGGATGCCCCAAAGCCAGCAGGATAGTAGGGTGTGCAGTGAGGTTGCTCTGCCGATGTGCCGAGCTCGCGCCCATCGGACCCGACTCATATCCCCCGTCTCTGACCGCAACGCCCGCAGTGCTACGCGCTGGTGTGGCGCGTCCCAGGCATCGGCCTTGCCAAGGAGCCGACCTTTGAGTCGTATGTGGTGGCCAATGTCGTGTTCCTTGTGGGGGTGTTCACCTTTGCGGTCATGCTCGGTGAGGTCAAACAGAGTCAAAACATGGTCAAATGGAGGATCGCGGTTGACGCCGTCAAGGTCTAGGGGTTGTCGAGGCATCTCCCTTCAGGCATCAGTGGGGTATTGGAGGCACACGGGGGAGGGGGTGTCGTATGTATTTTGGGTGGTGCTGTTTGCTTTCAGCAGGTGGTGTGACAACCGGACAAGCAGCGCGATTTTTACCCCCCTCCGAACGTTGGCGCCTGCCCCCCCAGGTATTGTTAGCGACGAGATAAAGCAGGGCTTCAGGAACGCCAGAAACGGCAACTACCCGGTGCGCAGCCGCCACCGCCACCGCGGTCGCAGCCGCCATGGCAGAGGCCGCGTGCCGGCCTCCAACACTAGCAAAAACAAGACGTGCCACGCCGGCGCCCACCCCTCAACCCAGCAACCGGTCTGCGCCGAACCGCTCCGCTCTGCCCGTCGCGCGTGCCCCGAGCCCTGACGCGGCGCCGCCTTCGGCCGCTGCCCGGGCTCCGCGTCGTTGTCTTTGATGCGCCGCAGGTGCGCACCTCTGGCCATGTGCTGCTGCTCAACTGGAACAGCCAGAGCCCCGCCATCCTCCGCCAGATCGCCGCGGCGCAGGTTCGATCTCCGCCGCGCCCGGCCTTTTGAGCAGGGTGTGCCGCGCACAGAACCGCGTGCTGCTTGCGTGTGCATGCTGCTGCAGCCGCAGATCATGTCAACGGGCCCCCCTTGCCCAGCCTGCCAATGGATCTCCCTGGCACCAGGCTGCGGACCCACCTCTCTTGCCACCCATCAGCCGGTGCCGCCACCTAGACGGCATTTTTGCCACAAATCAGGCTCTCTCGCTGCCAATCGGGCTCTCTCGTCGTTGTAAAGGATGGGCATCGGACGGCCAATCGCTGCCCCGCGTCTCCCCCCCCTCCCTGCAGTCTGCCACGGGGCGCGGCAGCGGCAGCGTGCTCAACGCGTTCCTTCACGGCAACTGGACCGGCCGGCAGCAGGTGGTCATCCTGGCTGACAAGCCAAAGGCAGACATGGACGCGGCCGTGTTCGAGACCCTCAGGTGCGCAGGGTGACACCCCTCACAGGCAGAGGTGTCTGTGTGCGCATACGCGTGGGCGCGGGCGGGCTTGTGGGGCGAGCTCACGTGATTTTGGTTGGGGTGGCGAGCGAGGGGTGAGGAAAGGGGGGGGGGAGCGGTTGCCCTGGCCAACGATTACGAGGTGGGGTCAGGGGCAGCCGAGATTTGTGGGTGCAGGCACAGGAGCTTTGGGGAGGGACAGGTCAAGAGGCCTGGCGAGGGCCCGCCTCTGAGGAGTGGGCATGGTCGGGCACAGCCGGGCGGTCGTAGGCTTTGCGCCTCGTCGCCACCCGCCTGTCTACACACCCCCTGCCCCGTGCGCCCCCGGCCCCGCGATGCGCGGTCGGCGCCCGGCCCGGCCCTCCATTGCAGGGATCGCGGCGCGAAGCTGGAGGTGCACACGCGGCAGGGCAACCCCTTCAAACTCACTGACCTCAGAAAGGTGCAAAAACGCCGCCGCTCGGCCCCAAACCATCGCAGTTTCAAAGCCCCCGCGCAACCAACGCCTGCAACGGCCGTGTCTGTTGTGTGGAGAGGGGGCAGGCATCTCGAGGTCTCGACGTTCCACCCATGCCATTACCAGCCCTTTCTAAGCGCCCGCAAGGATCTGGTTGCAGTGTCAGCGCGTGCCCCGCAGGCTTTGACTCATCGAGCCTTGCGCCGTGCCCCCTGGGTCCCTGTCAGGTGGCGGCCAACCGTGCGCGGTCTATCCTGCTGCTGCACCCAGAGACCAGCCAGGGCAGCGCAGAGGTGCGGTCTTTGGGGCGCACATCACGATTTTGTGCAATGGTTTGGGTGCGTGGTGTATTTCAAGCAAATGGACAGGCCTGGGGTGGCAGCTGCGTTTGGTGGGCGGGGGGGGATGGCAGCGCACCGTTAATACTCCCAAACACTCAAAAGAATGACTCAAAGGGCCCCTCGCCCCGCCAGGCCTTTGAAGCCATGCTACCCTGCTGGGCTCTCAAACGCACACGATTCTGCCCACACACCCACACACAGAGATACACACGCACACACACGCAATCCAGCACACATGCTCGCACCCACGCCCAGATTCAAACCAACACGTGCACGCGCGCGCACACACACACACACACACACAATGAATACACACACACAATGAATACACACTCACAATGAATACACACATTCACACACATGACATGCACACGCACACACCCTCACCCTCACCCTGACCTTCAACCCCCACCCGCCCCCAGGCCATCAAGGCGTCCGCCGCGATGTGCCTCACCGCGCTGGACGTGGCGCAAGACCAGCAGCGCGTGGTGATGCAGCTGCCCTTCGAGGCGGCGGCGCAGGACACCTACCTCAGCTCGCTCGTCAACACCGCACGCGTAGTGGGTGAGCTGCGATGACGTTGATAACGACGCTTCCCTCCTGAGTGGGGCTTTGGTTTCTGCCCGGCGGATTGCAGGGGTGAGAGGTCTGGCAGCCGTCGTCCGCTGGCTCGCGTCGCCGGTGCCATGCGATTGGAGGGCGGCCCATGGCCAGGGGCAGCCCCTCGTGGCGGGTACGCAACCCTGAAGCTTGTTGACAACACAAGCTGGCGCAACACGCCCATCAGCGCAATGCGCACACCGTCCTCGTGTGCCGAGTTCAGACTCGGCCCCCCCAAGGGCCCCAGACCCGCCCCATCCGCTCAACCACAACGCCCCGTTGATCCACCCGCCAACACACACACACACACGCACGCATACAAATACACGCCATCCCACGTACCCACCTCCCACGCCCCAACCCCTCCCCCCGCCCCCAGGCCGCGACTTCCAGGTCGCAGCGCTGCCTGAGCGCAAGACCATGCACCGCCTCGTGGCGCAGACAGCGGCGCAGCCGGGACTCTTCACCTGCTGGCTCGACATCCTCACGCTGCGTGAGGGCCGCCCCGGGGCCGCCTCGGCCCTCTTCCCGCCTCTCTGTTGTCATTTTTGGCGCCGCTTTTGTTCGTCCTTTTGCCATCAATCAATCAAAGGCGGCCAGTTCCAAGGGAAGGAGGTGCGTCGACGCCCCGTTGCGGACCGCGTTTCCTCATGCGACCACTGGCAGCCGACGCCGCCCTCACGCCACCCTCGCCATCGCCCTCTCCCTCACGCACCCAGATGGCGCCAGCCCCCAGTTTGTGTGCAAGCCCGTGCCGCCGCAGCTGGCCGGGAAGCCCTTCGACGAGGTCCGCAGGTGATGACGACGCTGCGGCGCGACTCGCGGGACCCCTCACAGCCGTCCAATCAGGCGCCGCCGTCCTGCCTCCCCGTAAAACAGCCGGGTGCCGCCGCGCGTGGGGCCGGCCGCAGGCAATCATCGCCTATCCCGCACCGCCGCCCGACGGCACCCGCTCCACACCAAGCGCATGCGACCCACCCCAGCCCTGCCC